CATAATAATAATTTAAATAACAGCTACTAAATACGATATTACACTTACCATGTTATCTTTCTTTATATTTGGCAATGTTTTGCCTTGTGACACAGCCAAAAATCCAGTAAAATTCTGTTATTTGTCTTCGCAAATTTTGGGAAATTTTTAAAACCAAGATGGCGGGGCAGGATTTTAAGGAAGGCCTGGTCGCTAAGTTTTGAGCGCTTTGCGCAAAAAATACGCGATTTTGTAAAAAATGTCCTCTTAATAACTCTACATTCTATCATTTAAAATCTTTGATTGCCCTGCCAATCCAGACGATTTACCCTGCCAATCCAGATGATTCGTATTTTGGGGGGTGTCACCCCCCATACCCCCCTCAAGTTTCGCCCCTGTCTCCTGGATACTATAGTGTTGTATAATGCAAAAACCCTAGCGAGCCATCTTAACTGGAACGCAGCCTGGAAGCAGCCAGCGAGAGATTTTAAATCAACTTTATTGCTAGAATATTGATTAAGTCGTCATTTGAGATAATCATTATTAAGATGAATTAGTTTTAGCATTTCTCATTTATGCCATATTGATGACCAAATGACCAAGAATGAAAAATTTGAGAAAACAGGTTTGCTATAAATGTTCGAGAAAATTTAAGCAACAAACACTCCGTCTTCAGTTTATACTCACTATTATTCTTATGCGGACGGTTCTTTCTGTTATAATCGTCTTCCTCCAAATTTACTGTTATGTTGAGTCGATGTTTGGTTAAATATAAATGTTTGATTAAATATTAAGTGGCGGCATTCTTATCATACGTAACCAAGGTAGGATTATAAATATGCACAAATATCAGGATTTGGGGCATCTCACTCGATATATACAACTAAATATCGGAGGGTTTTTGTAGATGCAAATCGTGAGTATCATTACATGGCCGTCGCGAAGAGGCTAGAGCAGGGTGGTGTAGTATCGCATTTGCCGACAACATTTCAGTCACCAATTTAATCTTTCTTTTTCCAATATTGTTGGCAAGCTGGGGGAGGGGAAGGAGTTTAAAAAATTTTCTGGACACACTATTTTTCACTAACTTTCGAGTTAATGTACCGTAATTTGTTAAATTTTTCGCTAATGTTTTCGTAAATTTATCAAAATGTTTGTTATAACTATTACTTTTTAATCCGAAGCACTCAAATATTTTCGCGGTAAGTGGTATATAGGTAAAAACTTTATTTAAACACACTGGCCTCGTTAACATATTACTGATTTCCGCAAGGGGCGTCACACAAAAATATGACGTAAAGATTACAATTTAAAAAAGCAAAACAAAGACACTATTTACAAAGGTTAACCAAGAACGCACAGAATCTTGTTCTAGTTTGTATATATCACAACCCACACACCCTCCCCCCTATAGCGACGTGTCTGAGTGTAAATTTCATACATTTTTTAAAAATCTTGCTGTCAGAGCTCGACAACCGAACTCTGTATGCAGCTCATTTGATAAGTTGCACCGGAATCGCAGTGTCGTACGTAGGTCGATTCCTTCCAGAGGGCCCATAGTTGCATTTTTCCCAACTGCTTCTGGATGTGTCTAATAAATGTATAAAATTTACATGCATTCGAGATTTCCATTTACAAAAACCATAAACTGAATACTGTAATCCATATGAGTAATCGACGCCCAGTCTGATAGATGGTAGCACCAATTGTGCCACCAATATAAATGGCAACCAGGAAAACAAATTATTTCTCGTCAGTGTCTGGAGGCAGTTTTTCATAACGATCAACACGTTTTGAAAAGCGAATATACAGAAGTAGAATTACAAGAATGACCCCCGAATTCATTGCGTAAATAAGTAACGTCGTCTGCGTACCCAACGCGTTGAAAAGAACGCCCAAAAGAGTTGAACCTGTTTGAGTACCCAGAGCAATCACCGTCCCTAGCAGTCCTGAAAATACATAAAATACGGATCAACTAAAGAAAGCTAAGCAATTATATAAATTTTTACTGTCTATTGATTTCTGACCAAATCCGGATATTGTTTTCAAATTTTGTGCGAATAATGAAAAATTGATTTTTCTAACATCTGTAGAAAAATTCCTCCAGAATGGAAACGAATTTTTGCCATTTGAGTTGTAGCGGAAGGAAGAAACTCAATGGACCTCTCGGGAACACACTCCCTCGCAGATAGTTTACAGTTAATTTACGCAAGGCGAAAAACTCAAACACGAACATGCAGTCATATAGTTAAACACACGGGCTGTATACCCGCAAATTGAAAGGCGTGCATTTGTTTTTGTGAAGTTTTGTACTGTATGGGTGAAAATTTACTCAATTCCCATGCCATATCTTGAAATTGAAAAAAAAGTTTAATTAAACAGTTTAGGAATGTCCTTAATAAATTAATGTGTAGAAATGTCAGTCTCCAATTGTCTGCCATTATAATATCGAAAGCAGCTGGCTATCCAATGGACTCCGCGACGTAACTACTCAGTCGTTAACATTGATTTAACATGCAAATCAGAACCTTCAGCAAGTTTTATATACAAGATGAAAGAATAGCGATTTTCCCACATTTTTAAAAAGAAAGTTCTCAAACAGTTTAATACAGATTTATGTCTCGCTGTTTATGTCGGCGGTTAGGGTTAGGGTAAGGGTGACGGTAAGGATTATGGTCAGCATTCATAAACAACCACGAAAAGTTTTGGGAAATCAGAATTTCTGGTTTTAGAAAGAAACACTCTACGCAAACAATGCTAATTGAGTTACCAACAAGTGTTATTTAACAGTGGTATTTGGCAGGCAGTGTTTTGCAGCCGAAAATTTTATAACTCAGTGGTGTGAAATTGTAAATGGTGTGACGCAAGACTGGTTTACGGTACGTCGTTCGTGTGTATCCGCTGTTGAGAACTCCAATGATATAATTTGAGACTTCTGTATTTTTTGTCGGAGACTGCCCAGCTAATTTTAGACATTACATTACTAATTAATTAACACCAAATAAGGTATACTAACGTTGTGTATGATTGACACTGGGAGACACGTGCGAGAATGTGTATTATAGTATTAATAATATATACATAAAGATATTACTCGACTGTGATTGGTTGATCTTAGTGCAGTTAATCCCAAACAGCAGTGCAATTTTCTGTAATTACAGCGCAATTTTCTGTAATTACAGTGCAATTTTCTGTAATCACAGTGCAATTATTTTGAATCACAGTACAATTTTCTGTAATCACAGTGCAAAAATCTGTTAGAAACTGATCTGATTGGTGGAAAAACATTGTGATGATTAAATGAACCAATCAGTTTATAGCGGGTTAATTTAAAGAAGTAACGGTCACAGATTGCTTCAAAACAAAACAAACATGGCGCCGCGCAACATGAAGTGAAGGTTGACTTCGATTGAAAAATAACAAATATGGCTTTTATCTTTTCTGTAAATGGAAAGGCCGTTGCCTTAAACTAGACTAACAAAACTTACATAGTTGAGTGGAATTTTCAAGCCGTTAGCGTTGTAAAATGTGATATAACAAATCCAGGAAAACCTTGCTAGTGGATTAGTGGAATGTTCGCTATATTAAACGTAGATTAAAACTACAATTGTCTCGAACATTTTTATGTAAATTATTAATAAGTAATAGCATGGTTTGTCGTGAAATTGGGATAGACATGCACTCGTAAGTTTTTCAAAGAACGAAGATTTGATTTGATTTGGTTTGATGTTATATCCGAATTACACTCGAAACCATGCTATTACCTATACAAACCGAGACTGTGAAAGAGTTTACTTTTTTTACATTGGGAGGTTAAAATAAAGTTCGTGTATAGTATCGACCACTAAGTAATCTGTATAGTTCCCATTTAGTAAGGGACAATTTACTAAACGTGGCACCTTCGACGAGATTGGTAAACAAGTGAGAATGGAAGTGCAAGCGACAAATCAGTCCGCACTTGAGACAACTGCAGATTACACTGAAGCGTGCAGGCGGTATTTTGGAAAGAGATGACGAAGAAAGCATCAAGCGCCACCAGACGACTGTTAAGACGATCATTAATGAAGTAGAAAAGCTACGTCTTGCCGTAGAAACCGAGAAAATCACGGCTAAAAAGAATATTAGCGAGTGGGAAAAGAAAATCAGCGAGAAAATTGCACAAGCGGACAGTTGCGTACGGGCGACGAAATAATGGCTAGAGGAAAACAATAGAAAGCGGAATACACTCGAGCAAGAAGAGATGATTCAGTTGAGGTAAGACTACTTGGCACCATGGATAATAAAATAAATGGGTAGGAAACTAGCTGACCGGTGACCTAATGTTTTCAATGGGATGATGGCGTGGTTGGATGTTGAAACCTAGTTGAGAACCAAATTCTCGAAAACGGCATGGTTAGCAATAATACAACCAAACATTTTGGTCAAAGAGCAAATAAATATAACTACGCGATTCTATGATGAAATCTCTAAGTATTCCCAGTCAATTTTAGAAAATATTTCAAGCGCTAAACAGCGAAAAATGCATCGCAAATTTCGTTAAAATTGGCGACGCAGCTACAAAATTAATGTAAAAAAAATACAAAACAGAGACGAAAAACGTTTACCTTGAATACTTTGTCGTGGTTTCGGCATGTTTTTAAAACAATTAGACCAGTTTATGCTTCAATATTACTCTTTTAAAGCGGAAAATATAGCGAAACAACAAAAAAGCTGAGAACTTTGGCAATACATGTGACATCACAGATTGCAACTAGGTTTAGACTGTGACGTCAGCTAGTGTCCTATCCATTTATTTTATTAATGTTGAAACTAATCTCAAACTATACAAGCAGAACTCGATTTTAGTAGTAAACGAAAACCAAGTCAAGTGTCAAGTGAAATGCAAATGAGCGAAAATATGATTGGAATGCGATCTATAAAATTGTCAAAATTAATAATTTCAACTGCGGTTACACGGACTGGTCCAGATTTGGAGGCAATTCAACGAGAATATAGACGCTCCAATAACTAAATTTAATTAATTATCTTCGTGAATTACTCGGCGAGAAAGTGAAAATACAGGGTAATTTGTCGAGGGTCATCGCTACGGCTCCGTTTACTTGATCGAGATTTTTCATCGTTTCTTGGGCTTGCACACTGTACATCAACTTGTCACTAAAGTTTTGTTTTTTCTTAGGATTTGTGCCTTGAATGACAGGTGGATCAAGGATTTCACGCATAAGGACCTTCGCTATTTCTGAGTCTTTGCCAAACCTGTCAAGTAAAATGCTCCCGGCTCGATTCTATCCTTCTGCTGTAAAGGGCAACGTTTCGACGCTATTCGAGAGGATTTAGTGCATAAAGACCCTCAGTGGGAAGATTGGGATTTCTACAAGTTAGTTGAGGCCCTTAAACAATGGACTAAACGAACCGGAAAAGAAACCCCCTATTTTATGCCTCGCGACGATCAGAACTCCGGGCCTGCGTTTATTGCGACGGAAGTGATCACAAAGCCGACAGAGCCTTTGTCGACGTCAGAGCGACAAAACCTTTGCCGACAGAGCTTTTAAAATTTTCCGACGTCAGTGCGCAAACAGATATTGGCAAAGCGTAGATTATGCTTCAATTGCCAGTCGGCAAATCACAAGGCGTGCGCCAGTAAAACCACATGCCAAAAGTATGGTAAACGGCATCACACCTCGATTTGGGATCTAAAGGAAATCAAAACACCATGCAGAAACAACCCTCAATCGAGACGTCGTTATGACAGGCGGAGAAGTCGTAGAAGTTGAAATTAACGGTATACGTTGTAGAGCATTTATCGATTCGGGTGCGAGTAATAATTCCTACGTATCGGCGAGATTAGTTGAAATACCCCGAGTTAAACCACAGAAGACACAAACTAAGAATATTGACATGTTGATGGCGTACGCGTCCAAATTAAGTTGCGAGACTCGAGGTTTACGACTTAGAATTTCAATCACTCGACAACCCATTTAGCTTAGCCACAAAAGTTACCAAAGTTAACGGACGGAACTTTTGACGATCCCTAACCCCAACTATACCCAACTCCTTCGAAATTACCCCCATCTGAAGGGAGTGTCGATGAACGATGATGATATCAAACCATCACTTCCGGTTCATGTTGTCCTCGGGAGCGGGGAATATGCGAGACGGAAACGAAGTCACGAATCCGTAAACAGAGTGAGCCCATCGCCAAACTGTCAAATTCGGCTGGTTTATAATGTCACCCGGAAACGAGTTTGACAAGAATGTGAGCTATGTCGACTCGATCTCCTGGGTATAAGAGATGTATCAGATCATGATCAGTATTTCGTGTTTGACGAGTTTAAGGAACAATTACGCGTTCTCATGAGGGTTGGTACGAAACCAACCTTCCTTGGAAACCCAATCACCCCCATCTGCCCAACAACGGATGCGGGAGTCTTAAGCCGTTGATGAGTCTGAATCGGACGCTACAACGGGAAGAATTAACTGATCAGTACGATGCAATCATACAAGATCAACTTGCAACCGGAATAATCGAGAAAGCACCATCCGTTGCCCAAGTGAAAGAGTTTTACATTCCTCACAAGAGCGTGATTCGAAAGTCAGCTGCAAGTACAAATATGAGGATCTCCCTAGAAGATAGGGATGATTTTGTTAATCCAATTCTGCGTAAGAAACCAGATCAACTCGTGCTGCATATAGGAACTAACGAGCTCATGGTGTAATTAATTTGGCGCACAAGATTGAAGAACAGTGTCCTGGTATTGATATCATTCTGGGATTTTAACAAGAACAGATGTTAAAGCTTTAGCAGATAGGGTAAGCGAAACAAATAGATTAATTAAATCTTTATGCAACCAGAATAACTGGGACTTGTTAACAAGTTCTGATATAGAAGATTCGTGTCAGTCTGCACAGAGCCGTTTCTAGCACGATAATTGGGTGGGGGGGGGGGTGTATATTCATATATTCATATATTCGTGTTCTGCCAGATGGATTTCTCTTGAAAGCGAGTGTTTTTACGGGATGTGAACATGATACCCTCTGGTTCCAGGGTACAGAAGTGGGCTTGTGCAAAGCAATGTAGGACAATGGTCAGCATTCAGCTGGGTTCAAGTGTGGCTGGCGTGTTGTCTTGCGTTTTGTTCATTGTGGAATTCTTATAGGACTTATAGATGCCAATAAAAAAACAAGCAGTTGAATCAGTACTAAGTTTGCTATTCTATAATCACTAGATCACACTTCAACAACACTTTTCCAATCGAGGAATTATGCCATAAAAGGTTTCGAGCAACTTGTCCTGATTCTTTTCCTTCCAAATTATCTCATACATAGGAAGCAGAGCAGTAAACAGTGCTTCAGTGGAACTCTCGTTGCCATATAGACCTTCGTTTCAGTATAATTCTAGGTTTGATTGCTTCAACAAAGCCATCAACTGTATCTTTGGCATGTTTAGAATTTGTACACCTTGTATATTAAAACATATTAACTATGTCTATGATTAATTAGGTAGCTCGTCTAGTAGCTAACACATGGATTGATCCAGCCAGATCCAGAGTGTGTTGCCCACACCCCCGCAGTAAATCCATTCCTGAGCTTACACTGCATGGGGCAATTTAAAAGAGCACTTTCGATTTGCATATGTTACCGCATTTCTCGCACTCAAATGCCTTCTAGCCTTTTATTTCGTTTACAGCTTAATAATTGAACTCATTTTCAATTTCATTTGTCTCCGTTTGAGCCACCAAAACATCAAACAAAAGGTTGAAACTGTCGTCTGAATTGTCATCAGATAAATCGACCTCTTCGAGCCTTCCAATGCTTGCTTCATTTTCGCAGTCGTATTCGCTCATTTTGCTTTGTAAAAGACTGTTTCCTTCTCGACGAACTTGCCAGACAATAATGATAACAAACCTATTAAATGACCCTCCCCAAACAAAGCGAAATATGATATTTTATCCAGATATTTGATTCTTCCTAATAGAAAACTATATAAAAACACACACAGCGTACCGCTTCATGGACACGTGACTTTTTTATCGTTTGATCCCCAACATAATTTGACGCCGCCATTGAAGTTGGCCGGCTAGCCCAACCATCTTAGTTTATTAACCGTGATTTAACCGACCATAAACAGAAATGTCAACTTGGTGACGTAATAAATTCTGAGAGTCGTGTTACATGGAGTATCCCACAAGGCTCCATTCTTGGCTCACTCGTATTTCTCTTATATATAAATGACCTACCAAACTGCCTTAGACAAGTGAGTCCTCAACTGTTTGCCGATGATACGAATCTTACAGCAGCTAGAGAAACTATAGAAGAGGTTGAGTTGGCCATGAATAATGATCTTTTACGAATAAAAGAATGCCTATTGGCCAACGAACTAAGTCTTGATGTTGCAAAAACGGAATTTCTTTTAATTGGCTCACATCATAAACACAACCTTGATTCTCAACCACCATTAACATCGGTAATGACAGTATTAAACAAGTCCGACATAGTATCATGAAATTTTGGAACGAACCCATTGAAAATGTAGTTAAAAAGGTTACGTCTGGAATTGGAGCTATGCGAAGAATCCGTGATTTTGTTGACAGAGAAACTCTGTCTTCTATTTATAATGGTTTAGTACGTCCTCATTTTGACTATTGTAGTGAGGTATGGGATACCCTTGGTGTGGGGCTCTCCAGAAGACTTCAAAAACTGCAGAATAGAGCTGCAAGAATAATAATGAATTTGAGGTAAAACACTCCTGGTATAGAAGCGATAAACGCTTTAGAGTGGGAGACTGTGACGAATTTAAATCCGCCTGTGTGGGTGTCGGCAATATAACTTCATATACAAAAAAAAGTTTAAATATATTTTTCTATAATTTGTACAGTGTAAATCCTATACTATTGTTGTGAACTGTCTCTCAAGCTACGATACTTGCGTCCTTTGGCGAGTTGTTCCTTCCCGTTGTTTCTTCAGCTAGTCCTGACAATCCCGATTTTCAGAGCGCTCGTTAAGTCTACCAGGGTTTTGATAACGGTCCCCGCTGTCAATTCCACTACACCGATCTCCAAATAACTTCGTCTTCACACGTTTACAGCTGAGTGTGTTGCTCAAGTCACTAAAGACTATACCAGAGCGTTTGATCATTGAAGACCCACGTAGTGTATTACTCAAGTCACTGAAGACTATACCAGAGCATTTTGATCATTGAAGATCCACCTTTCCCATATAATGTAAAGTGCGA